AGGACGCACAGCCACGCGCCCCACACCAGCGCCCCCAGCCTCCAGCTGGTGCCGCCCGGAGCCATGGTAGCCCCTCTGCAGAGGCCCGGGACACGGACAGGCTCTCTGGAGTGTGCCCCTGTGCGCGCTGCTCTTCCCACGGCCTCGAGGACAGGATGGCTCCTTGCCTGCCCCAGCTCTAGCTTTGTCCATGCTGGCCTGGTCCCGAGCAGGACGGCTCCTCCGATGACACCATTTCGAGGCCAGGGGGTCAGGGCAGGGCAGGGGCGGTGCCCAGGCTGCACGAGGCCTTCCGTTGGGCAAGGGGCATGCAGGACCTTCTGGGGGCCTTACATGGCCAGCCCCAAGCTGGCTGCTGGTGGGCTGGCGCCTTCCCACTCTGAATGAATAAGCAAGCAACAGGCTGTGAGCAGCGACTGGAGGTTTGGGCGCCTGTCTGCCTGCAGGGGCCTCCTCCGCTGGGCCCTATGGCCCGCCGGGTTTTAGCTATGTGGCCTGGCCCACCGCTCCCAGCCAAGCCGCAGAGCTGTGTTGGAGGAAGGGACTGGGGCCCCCGGAGTAGGTGGGAGACCTGTGGGGACTCTGGCAGGTGGAATAGGACAGGGAGTCACCCGGCCCATTCCTCTCTGCGATGAACACAGCATCCATGGTCACTCTTGCTTGCTGGCTTTGCTTCTCCCTGGGCTGCTGGGTTCTGTTTTACAAAGCCTGGGCTTAGAGACACCCTCCTCTTTGCTGGGGCTCCTTGGGGAGATGTAGAACAGGATCCACCCCAGATCTGGACTCCACAGGCAGCTCTTGGACAGGGTACCAGACCTCTGGAACTTCGGCGTTTCTTCTGGATCTCTTTGGCCTTGCTGTGCCATCTGTAGAATGAGTGGTGTCCCTGGGGCTGAGCTGGGCCCATGAGTCCAAAGGAGAAACCAACTTGCACATCCCATGGGGCCTCTGTCCTGCGTCTCTCGGTCCTGCATGGCCTTGGTGCAGCATGAGGGCACACACATAGGTAGGTACAATGAACTCCGGCAGCGGTCTTTCTGAAGATATCTTTTGTTTGTTTTGTTCCACCAGGGGGGATCAAACTCAGGGCCTTGTGCTTACAAGGCAGGTGTGGCACCACTGAGCTAATAAATCTCTGGCTCCATAGAACATTGAAAAAGGAGGAATTAGGAAGACTGTGGTTGTGATTAAGCTGCTGGGTGATCTTTGGTGTATTCCTTCCCCTCCCTGAACTGTCAGCTGCATCCAAATGGAGGGTTAGACCACGTGGTCCCTAAGGGTGCTTTAGGGAATTCTCTGTTCCCTTTGGAGATAAGAGAGATGGGAAGGATTCAAGAAATTCAACTTTATTTGGTGCTCAAGAAATCACACTCTGAATGGTGCTCTTCAGGCCTTAATCTGCATTTTCTGACCTTGTTCTGTAACTCCTGCAGCCCACCTTGGGATAAGCCAGCCACAGTGGACACTCCCTGGGGACAAAAGACCTGCATCCTGCATCCTGCATCCTTTCCAGGCAGTATTTATTCACCCATTGAACTGTTCTTCAGGACAGAAGCTGGGTTCAGGTGACCCTGGGCATTGAGTGTTTGTAATCCAGCCAGGGAGGCAGGGGCTTCTAACCCATTTCTGGTCAGCTGTCCCTCAACACAGACACCTTAGCTCCCCAGCATGGGACTGGTCAGGATTCCTGCTGTGCGTGACTGGTGGGTAGGCTCACTGAGGGCCCGGAACCTGCAGGGTTAAGCCTTCCCTCCCTCTTGCTGCCCCCTGCAGTGTTGGCCTCCACTGCTTGAAATCCCTGGGGTCCTGTAGGGCCCTCCTGCCAGCCAGATGGGCAGCCAGGAGGAGAAGTGGAAACATGCCTCGGGGTACCTCCAGGAGTGAAGGGGAAGGTCAAGGGAATGGAGGAAAGCAGAGGATGGTATGAGGTAGGAGACCCTAAGGCAGGACCCCTTTTCATGTATCAGACAAGGGCTCTGGAGTGGGGAGACCAGGGCATGGCAATCTTGCTCAGCAGCTCTGTGTGCGCCAGCTCTTGGCTTGAAACCCTACCCGGAGCTGGCTCTGGCTCCTTTCTTTTTTCTTAATAAGGTCGGATCAGAGTGAGTCAGAAGAGCCAAGTTTCCTGCTAGGCTCTGTTTGAATAAACTCTGCTCTGAGCAGAGCTGGGCCTCTGCACAGGCTCTGAGGGCCAGCACTGCATCCCTGCCAGCCATCCCTGCTGAGGCTGGATCCCCAGGGTCCACGGCGCCCACAAGATGACTTGAGGCAGGAGCCTGGTGGTTTGGTCACTCCCCAGAGAAGCCCTTACACGTTGCAGTGTTCCCGTCTCATCTCCCACCTGAGGCGATACTATCCTCCTGGTGGCAGATTTGGGGCTGGAATAAGGATTAAAAGCACCCAGCCCAGTGCCAGACATGTGGCCCTTATTTTCTGCCTTTCCTCCTCCTCTTTAGAGAAGGGAGGGGTTCATCACCACAGAGTACCCTCCCCCCATCTTTTCTGTCTGTCTTTGCCCTTCCTGGGCCAGGGTGAAGCCCCGGCAGACAGGGCCAGTCCTCTTCCCTCCTCCTCTCCCTCTGCTTCCAATGGAGGTGCCCACCTCTCCACACACAGGGCAGATTGAAACCTGCAGCGTGGGGGACTTTGAGTGACCTAGGCAAGGCATAAAGGGTGCAGAGCATGAGTCAAGTACAAGGTTGCACTCATCGGGGCCAGAGCTGTCCTGGGGAGACAGAGGTCCTCTCGGCCCTGTCCCTACTGGCTCAAACTGACATCCATGGTTTTAAGGCCCAGGCATAGGGTTGAGGCTCAGTGCCCATTCCTGGCATTAGGAATCAGTCTCAAGGGCTGGAGGGCTGTGCATGCTGCAGTACTTTTCAAAGCACCTACTATGTGCTCTGTCCTGTGGCCATGAGGACACGCAGGCCTGGCCAGCAGAAGTTCAGGGAGCAGGAAGGGTTTGAAGAGGGTGCGGATATTTCTGCGGTTGAGGGGAAGGGAGGGGGTGGGCCCTGAGGTACCAGGCTTGGGTACTAGGTCCTCCCTACACATCATGGCCACTGCCTGCCCATCTGGGACATGTGGGTGGGTCCTCAAGAGGGGCCACCACCAGTGGTATTCGTGTTGACTCTGGAATGGAAGCCCCAGACCAGGCAGCGGGCAATGTGGACCCAGGTGCTACTGCTTCTGGAAAGTGGGCTGGAGGAAGTGCTGAGTGAGGAGGCCCAGAGAGCTGGCATGGAAAGAGCTGACTCTGCAGGAGTGGGACCACCAAGTGACCACTGCCAGCTGGGCCCTGTGCCCACCCCTTTCCCACAGCCACATCTGGAACAGTAGTGGGGGGGGAGCTTCAGTCCCCAGAGCCAAGGCAGCCATGGAGGGGGCCCCAGGAGGAGGCTGGAATTCTAGAGAAGACCGGATGTGGGGGAGGTGAAGCTGAAGCCTTCAGAGGGGCAGATAGGGAGGGTGTGGGGTGTGGAGGGGGGCCCATCCTTCTCTAGGACCCAGGAGAATTAGGGAGCTCCAGCCACTTCTGGGTTTCCTTCCTGAGAGTCCTCAGAAAATTGGAAAGGCCGGTGCTGATGGAACAGTCCAGTCCTGGAGGTCAAGCTTGAGGAAGGCAAGAGGCTGATCCCCTCCCTGGGGCCTGCAGAGTGGTGACAGTCCTTGTCTGCACCCCACCCCACCCAGGGCCAGACTAGTGGGGCTGGGGGGTTGGTATTGCAGGAAGGACTCCAGAGGACAGAAGGACTTTGCTGTTAGTGGCTGGGGCGTGCTGGGCGGGAAGAGTCCATAGGCCACAGTCAGGCTTGGGAATGGACCTCAGCCAGTGGCAAGAAGGCCACAGTGCCCCTGCCAGAAGGAGAGTGGCAAAATCAAGGAGGGTGCCAGGCCCTGGGACTACAGCTCCATAAAGACCTCCAGAGCTAGCAGGGAAACTGAGGAAAGAACTCGCTGTTTGTCATGAATAAGACTATGGCAAGGCTAAGGGAAGGCCTTTCTGCCACCTTTAGTTTTGAATTGTATCTTTAACCTTCAGTTGGCTCCCCCCCAGTTTTTCTAGTTAAAAAATTGTTTCCGGTACCCTCCCGCATCTCCATCTTCTCCGTCACCCATTCATTTGTCACCCTTTCTGCATCTCCAAGTCTCCATCTGTCTCCTTCTGTCCCCCTCCCATCCTGCTCTTGCTTGCATGTGCACTCTCTCTCACTTTCTCTCTGCTGATGTCTCTCCCAGTCATCCCTTTATTAGTTTACTCCGATAGTGGGCATGTTCTCGGGTGCCTGCCCGATGCCGGGCCTGTGCTGGGAGTTAGAGAAGCCAGTCCTGCCAGGTCCCAAAGAGCTCCCGGTATAGTGAAGGTGTAAGGGACAGTCCTGGGTGGAGGTGAAGATAAAGACTTGCACTGACTCTTGGAGACCTTTGAGAAGCTCTTCTGTTTCTCTTGGTCTGCCTGTCCATCCATCCAGCTATCTATCTCTGTCCACCAGCAATCTACCATGTTACCTTTGCGAGATGACTTTTTTCTGCTAGGTGCAGGACACTTGACAGTTTGCTTGTTACCCTAGGGGCAGGGCAAATGGTGTGAGGTGAGGGTGGGATGGACAGTGGAAGGGACAGGTCGTTGTCCTTCCCCAACCCAAGGACAGCTGGGGGACAGGGGCTGCCATTTCCAGGGCACAGGAGGGCACAGTGCTGCCCCAGGGAACAAGGAGCCTACTCCAAGGAGTTTCTTTGAAGGAAGTTCTTGGGTGGGTTAAAATGATGGTCATGTGGTTTGGGTTGAGCTCCCGCTCTATGCTACAGACGTAATTTCATTTCTTACCGGTGGCATTTGCTGTAGTCTAATGCACATGTCCCCTGTCCCCAACCCCAGGAGTTCTTGCTAGAGACTGGTTTTTGACCGGCCAGGGTCTGGGAGAGGGAAAGGGCTTCAGGATCATGGAAGGAGGAATAGAGATAGCAGCAATCGCTTTTTAATTTTGTATCACAAAATAAACATGTTAATAATAGGAAATTTAGAATACAGAATAAAAACAGAAGAAACGGCTTCTGCTGTATGTAAGCTTGAGAAAACCGATGTTCCAGGCTCTTGTCCCCGCTCACTTAAGGATAATGGGCTCATGTCACATATGTCGTTTTATGGCTTGTGTAATAATAACTAAGGAGCATTTCCGGTGCCAGGTTGAGTGCCATGACCCACTTGCAGTATGCACATCCACCCTCAGATGAAAGGAGGCCAAGCCTTTGTTTCCCCAGATTCCCTCTGTTGGTGGAAGCAGGGGGCTGGCTCCAGCCTTGGCCCCTCACCTGTCGGGACTTTTCTTCCCCCAGCACTGGACCCAAATCAATTTCGTGCTCATCAACTTCTTTGCAACATGGAGTGTGTTTGTCCAGAAGGACAGATCTTATTTCCAGGGGGGTATATTTGATTCCATAGATGGAGGTATCTGCTTGGTGCTCACTCTCATGAAGTTGAGGAATGGTGTATTAGTCAGCTTCCTGTTGCTGGACAAAAATGCCTGGCACCCAAAATTCTAAGGAGAAGTTTATTTGGCTCATCGTTGGAGATTTCCGTCTGTGGTTGACTGGCTCCAGGGCTGGAACGTCATGGCAGAATGGCAGAGCACAGCAAAGCCGTTTAGCTCATGGTGGTTGAGAACCACTCCACAGAAAGGCAGGGATGAGATCTAGAACCCAAAATCACACCTCTGTGACTCACTCCGGCACACCTAGAAGTGTGCTTTACTAATCTCTTAAGTGGCTCTTGAGCCAATCAAACCGACAGTCCAGCTTTACTGTCACAGATGGTGTCTGCAGCAGGCAGTTTCGGAAATAGCTCTCAAGGAGCCATGCCTTCTGGAAATCACTTGTGTCATCTTCCCATGTGTGGGCTGTATCTCATGACTGGCTTCTAATGGTCAGAATATGGAAGAAAAATCTTCTGCTAGTGGGTCCTAAAGGACTTCAGGCTCTTTCTCTCTCTCTCTCTCTGCCTCTCACTTGACTGTTCAGAGGAAACCAGTTGCCATATTATGGCAAAGAACTGAAGTGGCTTCCAGCCAACAGCCATCAAGGAACTAAGGGCCTAAGCTGGGGGATAAACTGAGCCCTGCAGTGTACCCATGGTGTGAGCTTGGAAGCAAATCTTTCTTCAGTTGAGCCTTGACTAACCCCTTGGTGATAGCCTTGGGAGAGACGAGAGTCAGAGGTCCCCTTTGCCATACGTGGACTCTTCAGAACCTGAGAGAGTAGAGGCTATTGTTTTAAATGGCCAAGTTTCTGCGTAATTTGTTACACAGCAGTAGATAACTAATACAGCCCTTTCTTCCATCATTTTCTCTAGCAAATTATTAGGGTGTAGAAAAGTTATTAATGTTTCTATAGTAATTTTATAACTGACCACTTTACTAAACTCTTCCACTTTGGTTGTTTTGTACTGTATTAGTTTTTCTGGGAAGATAATTCTGAGGATGTAGAGGAAAAGCAAACTCAGTTTCTGTTGCTATATTCTCACAACACAGAACTCTTCTGTGATGAAATATGTGGGGTTCCCCACACCCCAACATCAAGCAAGTGAGCAGTTCTGCAGTGGGTACCAGCTGGGTGTCCTCTACTTCACTTTAATTCTGACACTACCTGTAGTGTTGGATCCCACAGGTTGAGAGCTCAGTCCTGCGAGATGGCGCCCTCTTCAGATGCCAGTCCCACCTGGGCCTCTGGAAGTTCTGAGCAAGACTCTCAAGCAGGGTTTCCATACCTTGTCCTACATCATCCTTCACATGTTCAGTTGTCTAGAACCCCAGGCTTTTTGGTTTTATGGGAGCTTTGTTGCATAAGCGTGATTGATTCCATAGGCCACTGGTGATCAACTGAACCTTCAGCCCCTGTTCCCTCCCTAAAGGCCGAGAGGGTGGGGCTAAAAATCCTATCCTGTTAGTCCTGCCCTGGTCCTACCAGTGACCAACCCCCAAATGAGGACCCAGCTGTCAGCTCATGGGCATATAAGCCATTTTGGAGATTTGGAGGACATTTTTTATGCCAGGGAATGCAAAGACCAAGAATACATTTCTCAGTATCACAACAGTCATATTTACAATAATTTGTTTTCCTCTTCTTTGATCTCTAACTGTATTAGGATCTTTAAAACAAGGTTAAGTGAAAAGGTAGTTTAAACATTTGTCTTGATCTCAGATTTAATAGGTATGTATTTACTATCTTGGTTATTAGATGTTGGTTTTATTATTATTTATTATTATTTTCTTTGTGAGGTACTGAGGTTTGAACCCAGGGCTTCATGTATGCTAGGCAAGCACTCTACCACCAAGCTATATCCCCAGCCATTTTTATTTTGAGACAGGATTTCCCTAAGTTGTCCAAGCTGGCTTTGAACTTTCCATCCTCCTGCCCCAGCCTCACGCGTAGCTGGTATTCCAAGGATGTGCCACCACACCCAGCTGAGATTTCATATTTCTTGTGAACGGAGTATACCTTGTCTTCTGAATATGTCTGGCATATAAAATAATCATTTTCTTTTTTGACCTATTGCTGTGGGGAATTTACTTACTGCAGTTCTGCTATAGAACTGCCCATGCCTTCCAGCAATATTTGCTTATGGTGTATTCCCTTAATGTATTGTTGGACATATGTTTGATTTAATCAGATTGTTTTTCTCAGGACTTGAGGATCTCTATGAATGAGACTGGTGGGTGACTCACTTATTCTGTCTTTGTCCCATTTTCTGGTTTTAGCTTTAAGGTTATTTATTTATGTTGGTACCGGGCATTGAACTCGGGTCCTTGCACTTGCAAGGCAGGCCACCGAACCGCTGAGCTAAATCCCCGGCCCTAGCATCAAGGTTATTCTGACTCCACAAATAGAACTGAGAAATGTTTGAGTCAGGGCTCCAGCAAGAAACACCCACCTACCTAAGCTGAGTTTGCTAAATAGGCTTTAATGATCTACTTGTACAAGTTTGTATCTGGCTCAGAACAAACAAGGGATGGCTGGGCCACGGGCTTTTGAGAGGAAATAGAAAAGAGCTCTGGACCAGTATAGCTCTGTCAAGGAGCCTGGGAAACTCCCCAGGGCCTGTGCCTTTCATTACCACCGGCTGTGCCACCACGAGGTCTCCATAATGAGCTCCCAGGGAGGTGACAGCTGTAATTAGCTGCTGTGGTCGGTGAGGGACTGTGTGACCTAGCCCTCCATTCTGGTGGCCTTGGAGCTGAATGGATCTTAAATTTGTTACTTTTTCCCTTCATTGCCTCCACCTTTCCCTTTCCTGAAGTCTCCAGGCTTCCCCTGGTTTGAGGCACCAGCTCCAGCTCTGTTCGTGGGGACTGCAGGCTACGCTGTGGTCAGCAGAGGGCGCCAAATCCTCTTCCCACAGTAAAACCAGGCAGTGAGGAGGAGGGGAAAGCCCCTTGGCCTTGGGGCAGAGCTGCTGCTCCTACCAGGTCTTTGACCCGCCCTTCTCCATCTCTGGGGTCTCCTCACCCATTGGGTCTCCGCAGTTGCACCTGAGCCAGCAAATGTGCATATGCCCATGTGTGTGTGATGTCTTGTCTCCCCAGGAAGCAGGTCTGATCGTGGTGTCCAAGAAGAGGTCAAGGTCAGGGCACAGGGACAAATGGAGGATTGCCATGAGTTCCAGGCCTATAGTGAGTTCAAGATCAGCCTGAAATACATAGCAAGACCCATCTCAGAAACTGAACCAACAAAAAACCCACCGATTTTGCAGGCTTCTTGGACAGAAGCTGTAAATGTGTCATCCTGGGTGGTCATCCAAGCAGTCCCATGAGCTAAGTGACATTAGCCCCATTGTACAGACAAGTATAATGAGGATCAGAGGGGTTCAATAATTTGCCTGAGGCCACACAGCTAGAAAGTTGTGAAGCCAAGATTTGAACACTAGCCTCTTTGATCCCAAAGTTCGTGCCAGGTTTATACCTCTAAAGCTACTCCCACTCTCAGACTCCACTGAAGATGGGCTTGAGAGCAGCCCATGAGAAGCAGCAGGCTTGTGGCTGTAATGACTGAGCTGAGAAATTAATGTTGATGGACAGTTTGTGGCTGATTGCTAGAAGTGAAAGAATAGGGGACTATATTTAGCTGTTTGCCATGGGCAGGTTAGCTGCTGGGGAGTAAAGACCTACAGAGGGAGGCAGGGACTGTGACTCTGCTGTCCATCCCTGATAGGAGTCCTTGCCCTTTGCCTGGAACAGTGGCTGGTAGGGCCACTTGATAAGAAGCGAGGGCCTGACCATATCTCCAGCCTCTCTCCACCTTGTCCTGCTGCTTTTGCCTCCCAGCTACCTCCACTCCCTACTTTGCCTCCCTGTCCTTCACAGTAGGCAGCACAGAGATCACAAGCGTCGAGCAGGACTCCGCTTCCTGAGAAGGTAGTGGGGAATCATCAGTTCATAGCCACAGGGCCTGTCTGTTATGGAGCATAGGATAAACTTCCCTCTCTCTGTCTGAGTAGTTTAAACTCAGAAATGACACCAAACTGGGCCCCAGGAGACTCATCTAGGCCACCCTGTCCATGTTGTGAGTGACCAGGGCTCAGTCACTTCCCTTGGGTTTCCTTGCCTGAGACCCACCCCCATTCATCAAGGCAGTACATGTCTTCCCAGGCTGCTCTGCCTGGATGGGGTGGCCCAGGACTTGGGGGCAGAGGCAGGGAAGGACCCCAGCATGACTTTCTTCCCTCAGGTCACTGATTCTGCTCTGCCCCTTCAGCAGGGACCTGGAACAAATGCTAGACACCCGTAGACGTGCTCAGGATTCATCCTGCTAGGAACCACAGGTTGGTGGGGTCGGGGAGGTATGTGAAGGCCACAGTGGCCCTCAAATGGGAAAAAAGCCTTGGTCTCTAGCCACTGCTAATTTTCACAGCATCCATTCTTCAAACATGACAAATCTTGAGCTCTCAACATGATGGCACTGAACATAGAATTGGAAAAGACGTGCAAATTTGATTTTTTTTCAAGCTACTGCCGGCTGACCTGAGCACATGTCAAGCAAGAGAAAGGACCTGAATTGAGGACCCTGACTTCAAGAATGTCCTGAATTCAGCAGTTCAGAGCCACCAAATAGACCCCTAGATCTGTACAACCCCTTCCAAAGTTCATTTGAGAAGAGAGAATTAAAACATGACTCAAGGGAGCATTAGGAGAGATTTTTTTTTCAAGAAACAATCAAGACATTTAGCAATTTAATTGCTTAAATATTTTTCACCTAATTTAAAAGCACTCATCATGTGAGTAATTGGGCAATGTATTATAGAATTACTCAGGGATTTAATGCCTAAATTGAGGAAGCAAACATTTGCATCTTCAGTTGATTGACACCTAAGGAGGATCGCCTGACAGCTGGGGGAGGAGACGCAGGAGACCTTGTCCCAGGTGGATGCTGGGCCTCTCTTGCAAGTTGTCCATTTATCATGGGCCCTGACACTGTAGAAACAGAACTGTTGTCAACTGGGGCTGGCTGGATCACCTTCAGGCCCTGTCTTGCTGCTACTATCTTTGTAGTCATTTGCGGTTTGTGCTCTTGTGGCTGGATTCTTTCTAAACAGGGGTGCCTGCACACACTTGGCCCTTATAGTGCCATCCCATGGGCTCTTCTTGCTCTGATTCCCCCCTCCCCTGGCTGTGCTCTGGTCTCTGACTGATCCACATCCATCTCAGTGCCTTGGTACCACATGGACACCTCCCCCTCCAAGCTGATTGTGCCACCTCTTGGGGAACATTCAGAGCTGGGACCTGGGCTGTGAACCCGGAGACTTGGGACCTCCTTATACCTGGGCCACAAGCTGTGCAGAACTTTCTGAAGAAAGTGAAATGACTGATTTGTAGGACTGGCCAATTTCTGTGCTATAAATGCTCCCTGTAGCCAATTTCAAATTCTCAGCATGAGGACAAAACTAAGCACTGTCCTGGGAAGCAATGCACTCGCTTGGTTCTTTAGGCCCTGAGTTTAGCAGGGCCCTGGGCAGGGGAGGGGCTTCCCACCTGCCTTCAGAGCCTGTGAGGATCACCAAGGACACATGACAGGGGCAGGCTGCCTTGTGAAGAGACTTGGAGGAGGCTGATGGCCTGGTGCCAGGCAGGAGAACAGCAGTTCGGTTGTGAGGCCTGAGTGGCATCCTTTGATTTGAGCAGCAGAACATTGCTGGTGACTTTGAGGAGAGCAGACTTGGGGATAGGGGCAGAAGCCAGAGGAGGGGTGCGTGATGTTTCCACGTTATTCAGAAAAGCGTGAAACTGTGGGATGGAGCCTGGCACGGGGAATGGGATGCTGGGCACTGGCTGTAGGTTGCTTGCAGACAGCGAGAGCAAGCAGGTGGCTCGGCAGGAGCAGCAGCCTGTCACCCGCCCTGCTGCCAGACCTGGATTGGTGAAGCGTAGGTGGGAAACCCCCCAGAGCACCCCGATTCGGACTCAGCAGCCAGAGTCCCCAGCTGATCCTAGGCAGCTGATCAAGCCAGGGACTCACCTTGCACTTCCATTCTCTCTGGAGCTCAGCATGACCCAGTTCTGCAAGCGTTTATTTGATTGATTGGAAGCAGACAAGGCCCCTGCTCTCCAGGATGGTAGACCCCGTGCCAGGCATCACCCAGGGCAAGAAAATGAGGAAGCTCTAACTTCATTCTCCAGGGCATATGTAGGCGTGCAAGGGTGGGCGTGTGCAAGGGACAGGTATGTGCCCCACAGAGTAGCAGCAGAGTCTTGAAGAGTGACTACATTTAAAGACAGAGAAAAGGTGAAAGGTATCATGGGCCCCAGATGGGTATCTAGCCTGCTCCTTCCTGGACACTGGAGACTGAGCCCCCAGGAAGAAGGGCTCCTGCTGCTATCCTCTGTGGAGGCAGAAGGAAGATGGTGCAGGAAGCAAGAAGGGCCACCATCAGCAGGCAGCAGCTTCCTGAGGTTAGGTTTCTGGCTCCTGTAGGCCGGGTGCCCGCACCACCACTATCCACATGGATTCCTGTACCTGGGAGTGTTACCTGAAAGGGACTTTGCAATGTGATTATTAGGGAATCAAGAACAATTTTATGTGTGTGTGTGTGTGTGTGTGTGCGCGCGCGCTGGGATTGAACCTGGGACCTTGTACGTGCCAGGCAAGTGCTACCATGTGTGTGCGCGCGCTGGGATTGAACCTGGGACCTTGTACGTGCCAGGCAAGTGCTACCACGGAGCTCCTTTCTTGGGATCTTAAAGTGGTGGGTTGGGGGTTATCCCGGATTACTCAGGTGAACCCCAAGTGCAATCACAAGGGTCCTTCTAAAACAGAGCAGAGGTCAAAGAGAGAGGACAAGGCAGTAGTGGAGGGTGGGGGGATACGAGCAAGGAAGCCTGAGCCAACAGCGGTAGGGAGGAGGCACTGAGAAACCTGAAAAGGCTGGGAAACCCCTTGTCCCCAAGAGCCTCTCCGAGGAACCAAGCCTGGCCCATACTTGGGCTGTAGCCCAGTGGGGCCAATCTCAGACTCCTGGCCTCCAGAACCACAAGAGAGCAAGCCCCAGTTGTTTTAAGCTGCTGAGTTGTAGCAGTTTGTTGCAGAGTCCAGAAAGCAGAGTGCAGTGAAGGTTTGCACGTGAGACTATGAGTGGGGCCGGGAGTGGTGGCTCACGCCTGAAATCCAAGCGCTCAGGAGCCTGAGACCAGAGATTGCTGTGAGTTCAAGGCCAGCTTGGACTGCATAGTGAGACCGTCTCAAAAAAAACAAAAACAAAGAATGTGAGTGTGGAGTCCCTTCCCCTATGGGGGCCAAAGCAGCAGAATTGGGCCAGGGCAGCCACATGCAATGAAGGTGCCCTTGCTTCTCTGGGGAGCTGTGGTCTGCTGTGTCCTACAGAACTTCGCCCCCAAGAGTGGAGGAAGAGAGCCCGGCTCCTGCACTTGTGTGTTGTTGAGTGGGGCTCCCTCTGCGGGGCAGGTGGCCCTAGGTGAGGCAGCTGCTCAAGTAGGGACTCAACTGTGAGCCCCAAAGCTCTCACTCTGGTCCTGAAGGGCCTCTGCCACACTGTGCCATGTCCCCCAGAGCCAGGCCAGAAGGATCTCTCTTTGCCTGTTCCTCGAGGCTGCAGGCCTGGAACTTTGCCAGCTTTCTACCATCCTGGGTGTCCTCACCTACTGGGAAGCTCCATGATACGCCCACATCTCTCACTGAGCAAGAATGGGGTGCTGCCCCAAGTTTCTAGAATTGTCATAGAGTGTTCTACCTTCTAACTTTAGCCCTAGAAATAGCCCTTGCTGTTCACAGATGAGAAAACCTATTCTCAAAAGGGAGGAAGAAGTGCCCGAGGTCAGGGCTGTCCCTGCCTGCCTGCCTGCCTGGTGCCCCTTCCCTGTGTTTTACCTTTCATTACCCACTGTTGTTTATTAGCTGTGTGATCTGGAGCAGCTTGCTTGACTTCTCTTGGTATCAGATTTTGTTTTAGAAAACACAACTCTGATCTGTCTTTTCTCTCTCTGGGGTCTCATTTCCCTTAGCCCCAGGAGAGACTTTCATACAGGCTTTGTCCCTGGGCCTGTGTTCTGGTTTCTACTTAGATGTCCCCAAAACCTCATGCACTCAGAATCTGGGCTTTTGGGGGCCTTTATAACTGGTCCCTTCCAATTCCCCTACTATATAAGACTGCTATAAGATCCTATGCTTTGTGTGCTGGGCTCCACTAAGAGGAAGTGAGTATTAAAATCCCCACACCAGGCTCTTTCACTGGGTGCCATCTGCCCAGAGCTGCATCTGCCCAGAGGGTGCAGCCTTGCTTAATGCTTATTAAAGCCCCATATCCGTTCACCATGATTCTGGAATTATGGACTGGCATTGCAGGAGCTCAGACACTAGCATCCGGAGCACAGCAATAGTGGGGGGTGTTAGCAGGAAGTGAGACCATGTCTGTCTCAAAGTTTCCATCCCAGAAACTCCTGATCCCATGAAATGCCCCCTCCATGGGTGCTTCCAGGGGAAGACGTAGGATTCCCAGGTGCCCTCTCCAAAGTGCAGGCCTCTGGCATGGAAGTCTCCACCCAGGCCAAGTCCACTGGAGCAACCACAGAAGGCAATAGATGTGTCCCCGCCCATGTTTTGCAGCAGTGGTTACTCCCTTGCTAGCCTCCCTTGCCAGCCCTTGTATGGACCCAGATGAATGTACCCTCAACCCCCACTTAGAGTAGAAAGATGTTTTCCCACCATAAAACAGGTGAGTGTTTAGAAATTGAAGATCCTGGGTGTGGTGGTGCACACTTGTAAGCCCAACACTTGGTAGGATGAGGCAGGAGGTCGGCCATAAGATCAAGGCCGGCCTGAACTACAGTCCAACCCTGTTGCAAAACAAAAAATTAACTGGAGCTATGAGAAACTGCCTCTGACTCCAGTCCCCCTAGATGGGCACTGGTCCCACAGACGGGTCTGTGGACAGTGACGGCATGGCTGGCACAGGGTCCCTGCTGGTGGAGCAGCTCCCTGGTCATGTCTGGCATCTCTCTGCATGGGAAGCAGGAGCCAGTGGACCCAGACAGAGACCAAAGCCCAGATATTCTCCAGCTGGCCCTTATCATTTGGACAGATGACTCAAGGTCCTTGCCCTTCCGGGCCACCCTGGATAGATGCAGACCATCATGTGGGCTATTAGGGTGATTGTTACCACTCACAGTAAATCACGCTGGACCACAGTGAGTGTGTGTGTGCGCTTGTCTGTGGGGTGTTGGAAGACGAATCCAAGCCAGGAAAGGGGCGTGGAGGAGTGCATGGTCCCCACTGTGCCTGTCCAGAGGGCTCTGGGCAACTTCTGGGAGATCCCTATGGCTCCAACTGGTCCAAACTTCCTCTCCAAGTCTGGACAGCTCAGGACCTCTGACAGCTATGAACATCTTTGCCCCATCCTGCCCCTCAAACAGTTCTAGCCAGCGGGGGGTTTTGTCTTTCCTACATCCTGTGATCTGCTGACACGTGGGAGCATAAGGACCTACCCAGTGACTCAGGCAGGGCAGCGTGCCCCCACTCCTAGGAAAGGCCTGCCTTCCCGTGAAGGAGGAGCGCCCTCTGCAGGATATCAAGGGAAACTGCAGGTTCCATGGAAAGGAGGCGAGGTGGCTTATTGTAGA